AATGATTATATATATATATATATATATATATATAATTGAATATGTCAATCGATTTTATATTATTATAACTATTATTTAATCGATTGTGTTAAGTGATTTAAGAGAAAGAAATGAGAAATGAACAAAGCCATTTTTTTTGTTATTTTTTGAAATTTCACATAAATTATCTTATTTTAATGGGTAATTTTTTGTGTGAGACTTTTATTTAGTTTTAAATCTTCAAAAATCACTGTCTTCAAATAACTTAATTTTTTTCCATTGCTTGCAGATTGTCGTTCTTCTCTTTCATTTTACACTAAATTGTCGTCCTCAAACACACAGTAAAGAACTAAGAAAAAAAATTATATTAGCAGTAAAATATTTCAAAAAAAAAAAAATCATTATATTTTAAATCAACTCATTAACTCATAAATATTAAAAAATAAAAAAAAAACTCTTATCTTATGCGAGACTATTTTTAAAAAATTTTCTTCAACAAAAAAGTTTATATCAATTTTTTTAATTTCTTATCTAATTTAGATTTTATATATAATAATTATTTATAAATTAAATATTAATATTTTTAAATAAATTATTAATAAATATAAAAAAATAATTTTTTTTAGAATATAAATTATTTATCATAAATATAAAATTTAAATTATATGTTTAAAATATCTACTTATATAAATTATGTATCTAAACATAATATTTATTTATATAAATAATTTATTATAAATTTTATATATAATAAATGTGTTGCATAGACTAAATATTAATAACTTAATAATGAGAAATAAATAAAATTTATACAGTATAAACATGTTAATAAAATCTTTATTTTTTATTTTTAAAATAAAGATATTGATATATTACGCCATTTTTTTATGCATAGAAGGGAAAAACACTTTTAAATATAAGTTATACTAGTACCTCGAAGCAAATTGCACAGAATGATTATAATACAATTTTGTCAACGAAAATTAAAGAATATATAAAAGTGCGTATCATATGAAAATAGTTTTGTTAGATGCGAATATTTCACTATAATTATCATTATTATTACCGCTTCCAATGCAGTTAATTCTAAATTCTATTTTAAGTAATTAAATATGACAATGTGTATTTATTTAATTTAATATATAAAATTATAAGTGTAAAATATAATATTTTTAATATATTAATAATTTAATTAAAGTGAGAGAATATATCTGTCTATCTTTATTATAATATATCTGTCACCGGTTTTTAATTAATCATATTTTTTTATTTACAAAATTTGAAATCAAAATCTTATTTAAATAACTAATTCCAATATAATTTACTTATATAATCTTATATAAGTGTATACCGTATTATCTTTCGACTTCTATTTTTATTTTTATTTTATATACATTAGCAACACCAATATTTTAACTTGAAATTTCATGGCAGCTTTTCAAACTTCGACCATTAAGTCTATGGTGGGTAGTTTTTTTTTTTTTTTTTTTTTCTTTTAATATACATAGTCTCTAGTGGGTAGTAGATATGTAGCATCTCATTCCGACGATCATTTGACATTTTTCTTCAATTATTTGGAAAAACAAGCAACACATTTCCACGTGTCATTATACCATTGAGTCCTTGGAAAAATGCAGAAAAACTTCATAACATTAGCGTAGTGTGGATAAGCTTGTTTTGGGTGTAATTCACAAAAGCCTCTCACTTTCTCAGAGCCAAAGCAATGGAAATGCATCTCTGCCTCTGAATATTCTCTTCACTCCTATGCCGCAAAACTTCTGATCCGGCCACCACCCTCTCACTCTCCAATGGCCGCAGTTACCTCTTCTTTCTCTTTCTCCACACTCACTCAATCTTCGCATAGAAACCTCAAACTCTCTTCCAATTCACCAACCTTTCGCTTCCGCGTTGGTTTCTCCTGCCACTATGTTGGAGTTCGAGCTGCCAATTTTGCTTCCAAAACCGTTGTTCGCTGCTCCACTTCCGTCTCAGGTTTGTTTCGTTCCCAACCAACTGTGGGACAAAAAGGGTACATCTTTAAATGAAGTTTGAACTCTTTCTGAGAAATGGGTAGTTTTCAATTTTTTATTATTTTAAGGTTTTGAGTTTAAAATTGGAACTTTTATTGCAGGTACTATGGTTGTCAAATTTGGTGTTGCAACTTGATTTTTGAGAGAATTTATTTTATGGGGTTAATGTCGCATGTGGCTGCTGAATTTTGAACCTTTTTTTACGGCTTCTTTTGTAGTCAATGAATTTAATTGCTTGTGGTCTTATGTACAATGTGGGCAACATGTTATTTGACTGGAAAATTTTCTGGATTGATGCCACCTTGTTGTGTTCCTGATGAATTTGTGTGAATGTTGAACTGAAATTTTTTGCAGATTTTAATTGCATGACGAGTTTTAATATAATCAGCATGTGATTTGGTTTTAAAAATGAAGATGTTCTTGGGTTATGTATTAAGGGTTTGATTTTGTTAGTGAGCATGTGGTTATAGTGTGGTAAATGGTGTGAATGGTTCTAAATTAGGTTTCTTTATGTTCTATGCTTCATAGTGCCAAATGGGCAAAATAAATAAAATCAGAAATGGAATCTTGTTATCAATAGTTGGTTATGGGTTGTTTACATACTTGATCTGCAGACCCTCCAACTGTTTCTGAGACAAAGTTAAATTTTCTCAAGGCATATAAGCGACCAATTCCTAGCATCTACAACTCGGTGCTGCAGGAGCTTATTGTTCAGCAACATTTAATGAGATATAAGAGATCATATCGCTATGATCCTGTATTTGCCCTTGGCTTTGTCACTGTGTATGAGCAACTCATGGAAGGGTATCCAAGTGATGAGGATCGAGATGCCATCTTCCAAGCATACATTCAGGCATTGAATGAAGATCCTGAGCAATACAGGTTAGAAGAAAGAATAATTTGGCCTTTTCTCCCCCGTCTTGTTTTTGTGGTTCCTATTCCAAATCCTCAACTTAATGATCAAGAAATGAGAACTAAAGGCTGTAAGCCACTGGAATCTGTTTCACAACAACTCACCAAGAACCTAATGTGCTTGGGGATCATTTGGGAGGTTCTAATATGATTTTGGATTTTGGCACCCAAAATCATGTTTTAGGCAGATGCTACAAATTGTGGAACATGATTTTGGATTTGTTTGGAAAAACGTTTCCAGAAGCACTTTTTAAGAGATAAATAAGAAGGAAAATCAAAATAAGCTTCTCTATAAGCTAAAATTAGCTTATGCATGATTTAATAATGAGATTTTGGGGAAGTTAATAGGAGAAGCTTATGCATAAGCTAGTTTTAGTTTATGAAAAAATTTATTTCATTTTAACTTCCTATTTTGCTCTCCTAGAAGTGCTTTTGGAGAAGTTTATCCAAACAGGTCCTTTGTGATCTTTGAGTCAAGTTTAGTTTGCTTTACTGCCCAGTTGATACCCATACTATTGCTTAAAATAATATTTGAAGAGGAATGTGGTACAATCAAATAACTCCTTGCTTGAATGATTAATTCTAATGGATTCTTTTGCTGTTTGCAATTTAACTGCAATTGGGAGGTATGGTACTTACTGTCGATCCAGGTATCATTAATGTCCTTGATTATTGCTGTGAAATGAAAAATGAAATGTTATGAAATTTAATCTGCATGTTAATGAGTAGAAGGGTGAATTGTTTTTTCAAAGGCTTGTAGAATACTTCGTTTCATCTTAGGAAACGTAGCTGAAGCTAAAGGAAAAAATCTTTAGCTGAAATGTGTACTCTATCGATTTATTGTACATCAAATGATCTTTTTATATTTCCCTCTACAGAGTAGATGCAAAGAAACTGGAAGAGTGGGCTCGGGCTCAAAACCCAACTTCGCTAATAGAGTTTTCATCCAGAGAAGGAGAAGTTGAGGGATCACTAAAGGATATTGCAGAAAGAGCGGGAGGAAAGGGGGATTTCAGTTATAGTCGCTTCTTTGCAATAGGCCTCTTTCGTCTTCTCGAGTTAGCAAATGCAATGGAACCAACAATTTTGGAAAAGGTTACCCAACTCATTTAAGGCATCATGATATATTGATTTGATTTGATTTATATATCTTATTTTTACAATTTTAAGTTTAAATTACCAAGGGTCCATTTGGATAAACTTTTCCAAAAGTACTTCTAAGGAAAAAAAAAAGTAATAAGGAAACATGATGCAAGTTTCTTTACAAGTTAAAATTAGTTTATACATAGGTTAATTAATAGAAACTCTTTAATATAGCTTCATCAAAAAGAATATTTTTAACTTATGTATAAGTTAGTTTTAGATTATAAACATATTTATTTAATTTTTCTTTCTTATTTTTTTTTTCTCCCAAAAGGATTTCTGGAGAATTTTATCCAAACATGTCTCATGTTTGATTCTCATTTATACCAGTTCTAGAAAACTACACATTGAGTTTGAGTTACTTAAATAATGGCCTGGACATGTCAACTCTCTTCCACCAAGTTCAGGCTCCATTGACGGGGTTACTCTCATCATTTTCTTTAATCAATGTTAAGAAATTGATGTCAGATTTTTTCTTCTACTGAAATAATTGCATTACTCTATGGCTTGTGAAGAAGAATACTCCATCTTTTAAACATTTATGGTGTGTTTGGATGACGAATTTTAAAAATTCAAGGAATTAAAATTATTGAAATTTAAATTACTTTCATTTTAATTTTCATCATTCTTTAAATGTTTTGTTTGAATAAGTCAATTTAAAATTTTTAAATTTTAAATTTTAGTTTGGATATGATAATTTAATTTTCACCATAGTAAAATTCATTGATTATATATATATATATATATAGAGAGAGAGAGAGGGGTTTTAAGATTAAATTTTATAAAAATAAATATTAGCTAATTTTTAAATATTTAATAGTTATACAAATTAATATTAGATGATATTTAATAATTTTAAGAATATTTTGAATATTTAATAATAAAACGTTATTGATATTTTATGCAGGTGAAATAAGAGAGAAAAAATGTAAAGAATTTTAAATTTTTACTTTTTTGAGAGAATTTAAAATTTTACTATTTTAAGAAATTTCACAAATATTTGAATTTTAAAATCTTTGTAAACTTTTCATCCAAACAAAGTATTGCATCCGAAGATATTATAAATTCTTCACACAAAAAAATAATTATTCCATTTAAATTTTTCATCCAAACACACTATTCGGATTTTAACTTTATAGGCACCAAATTCCCAGATAAAACTAAAAATAGTGAGCATAGGAGATGAAATGACAATGGCATTCTGGAGGATGCATTTAGTATCATGATTGTAAGTAAACTATATATTTTCTACTGCTTCATAACTTATTGTATAGGATTGTTTATCAAATCAATCTCTATTGTCAATCCAACAGCTCTGTGCAGTTTTAAATGTCAACAAAAGAAGTGTGGATCGGGACTTGGACGTGTATCGCAATTTGCTTTCTAAGTTGGTTCAAGCTAAAGAGCTGCTAAAGGAATATGTTGACAGGTAAAACATCAGATCTTGGCATCTTGCAATGCTATTTAGTTTTTCTCCCTTCTCACGAGTTTTCATCCTTGATATAATTATGAACTTAGCATTTAGTGAATTCTTTTTCCGTTCCATACTAAAACCTTTTAATCTGCAGTTTATTTCTTGCAAGTCATTAGTAGTTTAGCCCACTAAGTTAATGGACACATTATTCTAAATGTCCTTTTTTTATTAAAAAAAAAAAAAAGGACATCACAAATATAAGATAAACATATGGTATTAACTTCTCATTAAAATTTGAGGTGGTTTTACTTTTACATGCCCTATCTATTAACCTCTTAAATTTTAACAGAGATATTCAACATTCTATTCTAACTATCCTGTTTAGAAAAAGATAATATTACAAACTCTCAAATAATTTATTGAGAATATTCATATCGAGCTGACTTTTGAACTTTACAAAAAATATATTGTGGTCAAGTTATTTTAGATCGATAGCAATCTGAAATCTCATTTCCTCAATAATGCTTCCAGTAGCTGCATTTGATACCCTTTTGTTCAGCAGTCAAAAATCTTAGGATTCCTTAATCTGAACTGTTATTCCAGTAGATGTTATGTTTACACTGCTTGTTTTCTTCAACGAGATCTCATTTTTTTGAAATAATCTTTTGCTTCAGGGAGAAGAAGAAAAGAGAAGAAAGGATTGAACCACAAAAGACTAATGAGGCCATTACACAACAGCAATTTTCTGGCCTTTAGTTATTGGGTTGGGGTTCCTCTGAAATGATCACCTTGTGAAAATTTGGTATTCTTGACTTGTTAATTTTTATGTTCTTCATGTTGGTCTGGGGCATTGGGTAATCAGAGTGGGACCCCCACTTCTATCATCATGGTTTTGCATACATAGTGTATTTGGTGTATCTTCTTTCATGGTGATCCAGCTAGATCCTGCTTTTTGCTCAACCACAATTTACCTGTCAACAGTCTTGTGTAATCTTTTCTTACATGTATCTTTTTCCTCCACTCAGTCTCAGATGCATTTGGTAGTACTCAAATACAAGCCCAAGCCCATAGACATATACTCTGATAATTGTAATTCAAATTGAAATTCTTAATATTTCAGCAAGTCGCATTTTCTTGAGTGGATATTTAGTTCACACACATGTGAACAAAATATAGTTTCTCAACCAGAACAACAGTATACAAAACATGCATTTTAGATTTGTTAGCAAAACTTGGGGCTATCTGTTTACACACTTAACCCGAAAATACGAAGGCCATGGTGTTTGGTTTTATTTTACTTTTGATCACAATATTTGCACAGTAGTGGTCGCGACACGCCTTGCAAGTCTTTTTTGAAACATAATTACGATGCAAATGAAACATGTGACAAGTCCAGGGTCTGAGGTGAGATTGAATTTTCTTCTAATCAACATTTTTCTTGCACCCCTTAATCTGTTTTTTATTTGGAAGTATATGAACATGCCGCCATACTCACACCTGAACAGCAACCTTTCTACTCTCAATATTTTAACAATCTCAAGCCAACAAAAGCTAGCTCTCATACATCGAGTCTAGTTGAAATTTATGTATTTCAACTGCGATTATTGTAGTCTCAATACAATTATCACGTTGGCGGCCACAATATTTCTAAAGAGCATATTATTATTGGTTGTCACATTGATAGGAACTAGTCAAGCCACAAATATTTGGAAGGGGTTAACTACTAATTAGTATAGGAAATGTCAACCGCATGACACTAGAATCGCATAACAATGAAGGGCCTAACTAAGATGAGAAAATTCAACCTCGTCTGGGATTCTGAATGTATCGGCTGCACCAAACTTCCGAAATTCCTCTGGTACAGAATCTTCTTCATCACTGTCATCTTCCTCATCATCGTGGTGTGGTGATGAAGGATCATACACACTTTTAGACTTGCAATTATGAGTGGATAGCATGTTAACCTGGCCACGGTGAGAAATCTCTACCACAACAGTATCATCATCAACTGGAAGAGGCTGCTTCCAAGGTTCCCCGTCAATCCTCATGAATGTATGATCTGCTGCACCTTTGCAAAACTCAAATCGGATTCTGTGTGCCTAATGAAAAAGGAAGAGGGCAAAATAAACAATACGGTGTATTTGGCTTGTTTTCGACGATGTTATAAATTCCAATGAGTCAACTTTGGAAAATAATTACAAAGCAAACTTGATTTAGATAAAGGAAAATTCTGCAATATGACAGTGAAAAACTACAAAAGCAAACGTGTATCCAGTATTTTATCATATCACACATACCTGAGCAAGACGAGTTCCATGTCCTTTTGGAGCATACAAAGCAAGCCCATGCCACGCATTTCTAAAACCAACAACCTCTAGAAGGCCATCATCTACAAATGGTGGTGTCAAATCTCTCTGTATTTGATCAAGAAACCTTAGTTTTCCAAGGGAAAAAACTAAACTTGCATGGAATTATAATATACTACGTATTCACTACTTGCCTAGTACTTGATCTCACTAATCCAACGGGTAACAAATATTTTGCAAAATAAACACATTCCAGAATTACAATATGAAAATTACTTCACTCTGCTTCCTCCTGTTTGGTGTACCCCATGGATTCAGTCCACCAGAAAAGCTGGGCAAGTTAAGACATACAATCGACCTTATGCTGCGCATACAGTGAAAGAGTCATATTAGGTGTTACTCAAGAAGTAAACAGAGGCAGCAAGTAGCAGACAGCAGAGCAGAGGAAGAAAAAGTAATTTTTTTACATTTGTATGGCTTTTTATACAACATCCATATACAATAAGTTTCCAATATGAGAGAAAATAATAACAATAGCAACAACCATAAAAGAAAATTAGTTCTGAAAAATGATTATAAAAAATAATTGATTGCCACTTCAAATTTGAACCTTGGCTAGTTGAACATGCAGGAGTTTTTTCAATAACCTGAATTCTTTATAACCTTAGTATTTGTGTGTTTCCCCTAAAGATATAGATAACATATAAAATGACTTACCTGGGTGGTATGATTAGGTCTTGCCAATCACCATGTCTTTTCATGAATTTTACTTTTGCTAGTTGTGCTATGTTCCTGCATTAGAAATCAGATAATATTTACTTGAAGTAGATAAATGACAAGGTATATGTTTTGTGTAGTAGGTACAAATATATGCCTATCTAAACTAGCATATAAAACATAAATTTTAAATTGTTAGAAATGTACTGAATCTCCTATACCAAGCACTAGAAAATATGCACAAATGTTTTGATGATGCCAAAGTGATTATAAAGTATTGAAGAAGAATCAAGGTTGAGCTAAAGCAAGTTGATGCAAGAACAAGATCTCAAGTGATACATAGATAAGTCTTGTCAACTTAGCTAAGTATGTAAAAGAATCTTTTAGAATTGCAAGTATGCTTGGCCTTGAGAATAAGTTTTCAAAAACCTCAAATTAATCTCTCTAAAATTAAGCAAGTTTTAAATCTTTTGAAAGTAAGTAAAAATGTTTTCAAAAGACTTAACAAAAGCTTTAAAGAATAGTTCAAATCATTTCTTAAAAGAGATATGTGAAAGAAATTATTGATATGAAATTTTCTACATAAAAGTTTGTGTAACAATACAACATGTTCTAGTAATCGATTACCATCCCTTGTAATCGATTACCAAAAGAAGAAAACTTCTAAAGTTCAAAGTTCAAAATTCATAATTCAAATTATGTTCTTGGTAATCGATTACCAGAAGATAAAACTTCAAAATTTGAATTTAAATTATACGTTTCAAACATTTTGAACTTAAACCGTTGTAATCGATTACCAAGTCTTGTAATCGATTACCAGAGCCTATTTTTTGAAAAATTATAGAGAGTTACAACTTTTCATGAAAAAACATAACCCAAGAAACAATTGTCTATAAATACCTATAATTTTTCAGAGAAAAGTGACGAACTCTATTGTGAAAATCATTTACAAAAACTACTTGGCCAAAGTCATTTGCAAAATCTCTAAAGAGTTCATCAAGATCATAAAAGTGTAATATCCACTCTTCAAGAGAGTCATTCTGTAAAACTCAATAGATCATTGGATCTGTAAAGGAGAAAGGGTTTTTCTCCTTGTTGGTGTTTGAATCTCAACACAAGGAAAGGGAGTTCCGAGGTGTTGGAGGATTCAATTCTTGTAAGGTTTACAAGAGTAGTGGAAATCTCAAGTGGGAGACTTGAGGACTGGATGTAGGCAGGATTGGCCGAACCAGTATAAAATCAAGTTTGCAATTCTTCTTTCCTTACACTTTTAATTTCTTGTTATTAATAGTAATTGTATAGTTTGTATCATCATTCGTTCTTTACATACAAATTTGTCTAAGGAAATAAATTGATAAGAAAGTAATTCGAAAAAGTTTTTATAAGAGGAAATTTAGAAAACTTAATTCACCACCCCCCCTCTTAAGTTAATTGAGGCTAAGTGACTAACAAGTGGTATCAAGAGCAGGTTTCTTGTATAAGGCTTAAAAGCTTCAAGAATTGAAATGGCCTCAACAAATTTTTTATTTTCTGAAGAAAACTCCATTAATAAACCTCCAATATTCAATGGTGAAGGGTATCATTATTGGAAATCTAGGATGCAAATTTTTATAGAAGCCATAGATTTAAACATATGAGATTCTCTTGAAAATGGTCCTTTCATTCCCACTATTGTAATAGGTCATGAAATAAAAGATTTACCCAAAGATCAATGGAGTGATGATGATAGAAGAAAAGTTCAATACAATTTGAAAGCCAAAAATATAATTACTTCTGCATTAGGAATAGATGAATACTTCATAATTTTAAATTGTAAAAATGCAAAAGTAATTTTACAATAAATCATGGATTTGTAATACTATATGATTTAGGGAGGTATATTGAATTGAGATTTCGAAAAACAATTTTAATGTGAAAATGTCTTATGAATTTTAATGGATTTTAAAAGACGTTATGTTCCAAAATGTACTTTATATAAATGTATCATTTTACATAATTTTGAAAAGTTCTTTCTGAAATAGTTAATTTAGGGAGTTTATTGGATTGAGATTTTGAAAAACAATTTTAACATTAAAAAGTTACAAATTTTAATAGATTTTAAAAAACTTTGTAAGAATGTCACGACTTAAAAAAAAACTAAAAGACTTTTGAAACTTGAATTTTAATTAAGACTTTACAATTCATGTTTTAATGGATTTCAATAGATTTTTATGGACTTATGATATAAGATTTTAAAGAATTTTATGAATTTTACAATAAATCATGGATTTATAATACTATATGATTTAGGGAGGTATATTGAATTGAGATTTCGAAAAACAATTTTAATGTGAAAATGTCTTGTGAATTTTAATGGATTTTGAAAGACATTTTAGGAATGTCATGACTTCTAAGGGAGTGTATTTGATTGATGTTTCGAAAGACAATTTTAGTATGAAAAAGTATTGTGGGTTTTAATGAATTTTTAAAAACTTTGTAAGAATGTCATGACTTTTAAGATTTTATTTAAAAATGCTTTTGAAATTATAATTTTAGCACCATGTGATGTGTTACTGGTGCCACATGCATGATAATATGTGGTCCGTGTCCATTACATGTGCATTTTAATGTTATATGTTAACTTGATTTATTTTTATGTCTTGGATGAGTGAGATGTGATATTGTTGTTAATCTATCTATGTTATGTACATATACATGTCTTGTTTGTGTTTGGCTCTCCGGTGTGTATTCCTACACTGTGAGCCAAAGTGAGATGTTTCTCACTCCCTTTTCTTGTGTTGTTTTTCTTTGGTTGTTATACAGGTGATCATCAGCATGAGGCTAAGGATGTTGGTGATGAAGCTTAGGCTTCAATGTTGGGCTTTGCTCTGATAGGACATGTGACATCGGAGCGTGGATAGGATTAGATTAGGATGTTGTTTCTATTAAATTATTTTGAAAACCTTAGCCTTATTTCTTTTGTAATTTCTGCTGATTATGTTACTTGTTTAAGTCATGAATGTGGTGCTCTCTATTTGAACATATTTGGTATTTTAATTATGAAAGATTATGTTCTTTGAAATTTTATTATTTATGTGTTATGGTATGTAGGGTAGAGGGTGTCACACATGTAGTGTGAGCCTATGTCGGGCATTGAGCACGAGGAGGATCACGTCGGGCATGATTCCTTTTAGAGGCTCGCGGCCACATACGCACCAAGCACAGGGCGTGTCCCGCCAAACACAACCTTGTATTTGAACTTAGTTCTTATGAGTGTATGTGCGAGATAATTTGTGTACTTAAGTGATTGTGATAAGTGATAAAGTAATGAGTGATGAATTGTGCAGTGATAAAGTGATTAGTGACAAAACATGATGTGTTATGATTTATGAGTGATAAGTGATTATGCTTGATAAGTGCATTAAGTCTTGAATGTCATGCATCATACGCATTTGTATTTTTGTGATGGGTACGATGCAAAATACATTGCTAAGGAAGGCCCCTTTATATAAAAACTTGGGAATTAGTCCTTAGAGATAGTTTGATTTAATAAGTCTCAGTCTCGCCCATTGTGTGTATAGTGCATATCTTGCACGACTCAACTATCCTAACGAGACCCTAGTAGTATATCCTTCTAGTGAGAGTGTTGTGATGACTTGACCTGACATATATTCCTAGATTACTTAGCCTTCAAACAAGGATAAATGTGTTTTTACTGGCCCACATACATATAGTTTAGGAGAGTTTGGTATATGTATGATCATAACATGTTGCTTGTGTTTGAATTGTGTTTTGATTGATGTCATGATGGAGTGAGATATAAATTGAGTTGAAATTATTGTATGGATTGATGAGAATATTAATTATTGATTTTATATGATGTTGTTTGTGGCTACCCATTCCTTGGACTACAAATAAGGCAAACCAAAATTTTTTGCTTACTCTTTACCTTTGAATTATTTTGTTATTATATTCGTTTTGATGTTGCCAAAAGGGGAGAGAAAGGATAAGGATCACAAAAGGAAAAAGACAACATATATCTTAATCTTCTACTTGACTTTTTGATGTTGCCAAAGGGGGAGAGATAAGACCTCAAAGGATAAGACTGCAACATATGTTTATTTTCTTTCTAACATTACTTTAGGGCAAAGTTTGACTAAAATATATTGACAAGAATATTCTTGATGTCTAATTTGTCACTTATGTTTTAAAATATAAACATTGATCTCTACAATCTTTTTCAAAACATAAGTACAACTCCTTTTATAAAATAAAAATAACTTCAATCAATGCTTTAATAAGGGGGAGTTTAAGGGGTAGTGATCGAAATATATTATTTTATTTTCTTTTCTTTTACAGTGAATTGTCATCATCAAAAAGGGGGAGAATGTGGAAGAAAATATGCACAAATGTTTTGATGATGCCAAAGTGATTATAAAGCATTGAAGAAGAATCAAGGTTGAGCTAAAGCAAGTTGATGCAAGAACAAGATCTCAAGTGGTACATAGATAAGTCTTGTCAACTTAGCTAAGTATGTAAAAGAATCTTTTAGAATTGCAAGTATGCTTGGCCTTGAGAATAAGTTTTCAAAAACCTCAAATTAATCTCTCTAAAATTAAGCAAGTTTTAAATCTTTTGAAAGTAAGTAAAATGTTTTCAAAAGACTTAACAAAAACTTTAAAGAATAGTTCAAATCATTTCTTAAAAGAAATTTGTGAAAGAAATTATTGATATGAAGTTTTCTACATAAAAGTTTGTGTAACAATGCAACAACATGTTCTGGTAATCGATTACCATCCCTTGTAATCGATTACCAAAAGAAGAAAACTTCTAAAGTTCACAGTTCAAAATTCATAATTCAACTTGTGTTTTGGTAATCGATTACCAGACCCTTGTAATCGATTACCAAAAGATAAAACTTCAAAATTTGCAGAAATAAATGGTAAAAATAGTAGAGAAAAAAAGTCATGCAAAATCTAAATTTTTTTGGTGTAATTGTTTAATGAGTAAATTAGATGTGAATTATACTAAAAATTATCACAAAATTTAACATTAAAAAAAATTCATTGTCATCTCTATATTTTTTAATACTAATAGACCTTTTTAATTAAATATCATTAACTTTTAATAAATTCTTAAAAAATTATGATTGTTTTAATTGAATACCATAATTTTTTTATAATAATTTTTTTTTATAATCCACTAAAATCCTGATCAAGTACACTCCTCTAATTTGTGTTTTGAAAAAAAATATTATAAAAGAATATTTTGATAATTACAAAACATAATTTTGGAAAGCATACTTTTTTACATACTTTTAAATAGTAATTTCTGAAACATTGCGGGAGAAGAAAAGAAAATAAGAGATATAACTATTATGAGCCAATTATTTGTTTGTAAAATCAAATTTCAAAATTGAACATCTAAGACAAAGAATTGATGCGTGTGAAAATAAATGAGTATTTGAAAAAGAAAAAAAATGCGAAAACAATGACAAGAAAAAGTTCGTAAAGTTGAGAAATTAGAAAATAAAAAATACAAATATACTTTAAAAAGAAATAAAATTTACAATAAAAGTATATTATTAATGTAGGAATGGAATTCAATCTTTTTATAATATAAGATTTTAAAGGATTTTATGGATTTCACAATAAGAAATATATTTGTAATACTATAAGATTTAATTAAAAGAAATATAACAAAAATTAAAGAAAAGTAAAACTAACATAAAAATTTGCATCTTTTGACAAATAGTTAACTTTAAAGTTATATTAGTCTCCCATGCATTCTTATATTTTCTCTCATGCACTTGAGTCTCAACAATATATTTAAAATTATAGTTTTCATTAACTAGTAATATTGAAGATTGAGATCGATCTACTATTTCAATTAAAATTTCATCACAATGACATTATTTAGAAAGAAAGTTACGTAATGCTACATGTTAATATTTGTTCAGTTTGTATCTTAAATAGAAATCGAGGCACTGACTTAAAAACTGTAAAACGTGAATTACAAAAATATTGAACATCCTTTTAATCACATTTTTGAAATATGCATGATGTAAATTGAAAACTTTATATTCATTTCGAGGGTCATTACCATCACCCGTAAAGTTTTTTTAATATATATTTCAAAATTTCATATTTTAATATTAATTTTCTAAAAGAATGAAAAATAAATTTTTATAATTTTTAAATTAGAACAATAGATAATATTTAATTATAAAAGATCATTATAAATATCTAGTAATTTAGAAAAAATAAAATATTAATAAATTATGCATAAATTAATAGATATGAAAAAGATAAGAGGAAAAGAAGAATAAATAAATAAACGAGAGACATGGATAAAAAAAGAAAGAGAAGAGAGATAAAGAAGAAAGTGAGAGAAAGAGAGTGAGAGGAAAAATAAATGACAGAAATGAATAAAATGAAAAAGAGAAAAGGAGATAGAGAAGAAATGGTGAGAGAGAAACAAAATGGCAAAAGAGAAACAAAATGGTAAGAGAAAATGAGAGGAACAAATATGAAACAGAAAAAAGAAGTGAGAAAATAATTAAGAGAGAGAAAAAGAAATAAATGGTAAAAATAGTAGAGAAAAAAAGTCATGCAAAATCTAAATTTTTTTGGTGTAATTGTTTAATGAGTAAATTAGATGTGAATTATACTAAAAATTATCACAAAATTTAACATTAAAAAAAATTCATTGTCATCTCTATATTTTTTAATACTAATAGATTTAGAAAACTTAATTCCCCCCCCCCCCCCCTCTTAAGTTAACTGAGGCTAAGTGACTAACACATCATATATTTGAATTTTACGATTTAAACAGGAAAATAAAAGAAATCTAAAAGAACTATATAATTATGAATTTTGATGATATTTTGTTTCCATATGTACCATTGTCAATGGTATATTCTGATAATTGGAATAGTTAAACAAGACTCACTTGAGATAAGCAAACCAAATTTAGAAGAAAATCCTTTTGTTTTTTTTTTCTGTTATTTGTTATCTCATTGGCTACAACCAAATAAAGTTGGCCTTTTAAAATAACAGCTGTTATTCTGATATAATGGCAGTCACTATTTTTAGTGCTCACTAGTTCCAATCACTACCAAAAGTTCCATACCAAGTATCACCTTTTAACAAGTTGGAGGCTATCTACCTGGTAAATGACCACTTGGGAAAAAGTTGATGAGGGGGCTCAATTAGGGAATCTACAAAGATATTACGTGCTTTTGAGATTGAACTAGGTACTGCTATGAGCTTTAAAAGGTTTTTAGAGGAGCTAACAAAGTGCTGGATGGGCATTTTGCTCAAAATCATTTTAACTGATTGATAAAAGTTACATGTCTATATGCAGATAAGTATAGGATAGGAAACCAAAGCATAAAAGTATTTCTTTTTTCAATACAAACATAAACTCCAATTAACATGACTGATGACTGGTCATATAGACAAATTTTGTGCTATTCATGAAAATAACTTGAATAAATCATTTGATTGTCTTAATTTGTCTAAGCAATGTACTAAGAAATTATCAAGTACATAGTTGGACCAAAAAACACTTGGAAATTTAGAAAAACTCAACATACTTGATACCTATAACTCATTAGCAAAAAAGTGAAAAAACATAAAAAAATTAAAATAAAATGGAAGATAGTTTGAGGACAAAACTTAAGTACAATACTATAGGTACTATTGATGCTGTTGTCCAATTAAAATTGAAGTTTCACCTGGATATATATATATATATATACACATTTAATCCAGACCTCAGTAATATATAGTTAGAGCATCAGTTGTAGGGTATAAGTGAAGTACAAGTAGATTTCATGCCTGTTTGGTTTCATGTCCAACAGTCAAAATCTTGTGTAAGTGCCTTGGAAATACGAAGTTAATAAGATTTTAATTTTACATCAAATGTAAAATGTACATGAATTTTAAATGAGAATGATGTGGATCCAAGCACGCAATTCAAATATTCAACTCTAGTAGAACATATTGCAAACTTTTATGAATTTACAAGACCTATTCATGAAATTTGAGGTTGGTAAAAAAAATCAGAAAGGAAAACCATGCAACTCCTTTATCCTAACAATGACAGGTTTTAATGAACTAACCTGTCAGCAGGATGCCTTAGAGAAGCAAAAAACCATCCTTGTGAGCATCCAAGCTTTGCATAAGTAGTCTAACATAGTAACATGTAGATGGAAATCAAGACTGGAATATCAGTCTAAAAAAAGTTTTGAAAAAAAAATAGTCTCTTGTCCAAAATTATCTAGGCTTTCCATCCAAGAGTGAGAAAGTCAAACAAGTACTGTTATTAACCAACTGCACATTGTTTAAGCATCATTATAATACTGAAGAAACAGCAGCACACCTGATTAATCAACTGGTTTTTGAATTTTTCAGGATTCTGCTTCCGTTCTGAATGAAATGCATAAGACACTTGAGCATCCATTCCTACAATCAACAATGACTGATATTTAACAAGCACTGAAGTAGGGTGGACAAAGAAACAAAATTCCTCCAATATAATATGACATCTAAAACATTCTAAGATAAAAAGTAATCAGGATAAATGCGAGACATAGTAATGATATTAGTAATCAATGCATTTAATTTAAGGGCTTAACAGTCATGCACTATCTGTGTAAAATGTTCTACATGGTCAACCAATTAGAAATCGTGATTTGTATGACTTATAAGGTAGTGTAAAATTTATCATTTATGGTAGATTGTAATTGGATGACGGTTTAAAATTGTTTTACACTAGCATGACCATTAAACTCTTAACTTAATAGACAGACTTACATAATATATCAGAACATATGTCACATTGTCACATTTATTCAGCTTATGTTTAAAAGGCTCAATTTTTTCTCTACAAAATTAATTTATGCTGGAACTTGCATTGTTATCATTTGATATTTGATATGTAACAAAGTGCCGACTACATAACATTCTTCAATAAGTGGAAAATATATTTCTCAAGTCCATACTCCATAACGTTTAGTTTAGCTACAGAAGAACCCAGGAATATTTATTCTTACCCATACTGAAGTAATTCCAAAATCCCCCACGAAACGTGTGGCGACCTTCCTGAAAAACAGTTAGCAACAATCGCAAGAAGAAGAAAGGTGAATAGGAAAGGAAACCTTTAAAAAGTCAAAATTAAAATATAAAGTTATACAAAAATTCTTAGAAAAGAACTTCCCTTCACCCCTCAGTTTCAATAAATGAACTCAAAATATTAAAACCATATAGGAAACCAATAAAATCTGCAGAAGATATGGGATCCAAATGGAAAAACGGAATTCACTAACAAGAAGCATGTTGAAATAATGTTTAAAAGTATTATTTCTCATTAGAAAAGGTAGCATATGAAACTGAATATATCATGGCAAAAAAAATTGAATGTACCTCTTCCTTGAAGTTCACAAATTGCACCGTGAACCAGATTTAATAGAAGATCTCAAAATAGTGGTGACTGAAATAATGCCTTACCATATTAAGTTCATCTGCTTCAGATACACGATGGAAGGCGTGCAAAGAATGTGGTAGTTCAAGTGGTGGAATTGGATCGCAGGGACCTTCTTTAGGAGCTCTCATTCTCATGAGAATGTGCCAGCTGAAGGTTAGAAGAAAAAACAAAGTTATCAGCAAACAACATTTTCTAGAAGAAATATATGCAGAAACTGAATAGCATGAACAAGAAATGGCTCTCAAACATTCATATATTTGCCCTGGATTAAAGGGCGTAAGGGCTGAACATGGAAGTATAGAACAGGGAAGCATCAAAACTCCAAACAACAAATTACTAGCAGCAGACCAAGAGCCATAGATCAAGATGGTGTCAACCAAACAGGAATGAAATGAGTCAATCAAAAAGAAAATCATTCGTTTTCAATTTGGTTTTATTAAAAAAATCAACATATCTATAGTAACTGGTAACATTGCTAACTCATTCACAACTATAATGTAATTTAGCCCCTCACAAAATCAAATAAGGAATGCAACCTTATTTATTTAATTCAATATTGATTATAAGGACACTGGAGGTACTTTCTCACTTGCAGCAAGGAAATGAAATAATTAACATCCTATTCAAAATGTCAGCCAACTAGGTAGAAGAATAAGAAAATAATTCGAAGATTAAAGAATAGGCACAAAATTCATTACTTGTCTATTTTCATTTCCTTTGCTTTCATGACTTGATCTAAAAATGCCTCAACTGATCCTTCATCTGTAGGTGGGTTCTTCTTCCCCTGAAAAGAAGCAAAAATTATTTGTTTCATCATTTTTCTTTACTTTCCTGATAATTAATGGTCATAGCCACTGCTGAAAACCTACTCAACTTCTAGTAGAAACAGAAAAAGGCATTAAAGGAGCGTCAAATCTTTATATACACAGGAAAAGAAAAAGAAAAAGAAAAAAAAAAAAAAAAAAAAAGGAAAGGGCTATTCGATTTAAAACTAATAACCAGGGGGAAAATGTGGAAAAAGTTCAGGAATAACAATATGCTCTCTTAAAGTGAATCCAATCAAACAAGAAACTGGCACATATTGATATCTAATACTATCAAGACAGTGACAGAGCAAGTATAATAATTTTACATGCACTTAAAAGTTTCACTGTATGTTGTTCCTACCCAACCAAAGGCAAAAGGTAGATTATTCCCAGTGCCCAATGGCACCGTGGCTATTGGCGGAGGATGAGATAATTTGAGATCACAAACAACTCCAAGAAGCCAGCCTGCTGTTCCATCACCCCCTGCAACCTAAAGCCAAGGCACATTCAATCATAAACTCAAACAAACACCATACCCATATAAATTTCCTTACACAATAAAAAAAATCAAAATCACAACCCATCAAATATTTTCATTATCACAACTCACAATTAACTTCAATTTCTCCTTGATCCGTTTGGCAAACTGATCACCCCGCACACCGAGGCTTTCCAAATTAGCATAAACTGTTCTCAGAGCCTTATCAGGAGCTTGTTCCCCCAAATCAAAAACCTGAAAATCACAACAACTCGATGAATTTGAACAATCCAGGTTCAAGTGAGCTAACTCTGTTTAGAAAGTAAATTAAGTACAGGTATGTTTGGATAAATTATTTAAAAGTACTTGTAAGAGAAAAAAAAAATTTAAAAGAAGCAGAAGAAGTAATAAACTACTCTTAAAATTAAAACTTGCTTATGTATAAGTTAAAAATAAATTTTTAAAAAAGTCAATTTAAGAGCTTTAACAAATTAATTTATGCATACACTAATTTTAATTGAGAAATTTATTTCATTATTACTTCTAGAATTCAACATAAATTTATCCAAACAGAGCATGATATTATTCAAAATATGGAAAAATCAACCATGCATAACAAATCATGAATAAGTTATAAAATCGATAATCAAGCATACATAACATAACAACAAATCATAAATATGTTATAAAATGAATGATTAACACACATGCATGGCAAATCATAGATGTGTAGAAACATTAACGGTTGACTTTGAAAATAGACGTGAGAGTAAGAACCTGTTTGGGATTAAGAAGATTGCGATAGGTTTTCAAGAGATTCCCTCCGAGCTGACCGCCACTCTTGGAGTTAACGAAAACCAACACCGGACATGGAGGCACGTGAGCGACATTTTCAAGCTCGGAGCCCGGTACGAGAATGTAGTCGGGAATTTTGAAGTTGTCGAGGAAGTTAGAAGCCATTGCTGCCGTGCCACGTCACGTGCACCGGCGCCGATAGATGAAGAGATTCAGGCGGAGGTCACGTGACAGTCGCTCCTATCCGATGACCTTCGAATTGAACGATGAAGAGTGATGAATTGCGTTAGCGTAGAAGGAGGGTAACTGACTAAGAGTCTCCACTCTCCAGAAAGTGAAATCAAAACGATGGAAAATATTAATTAAAATGCAAAGAAAGAAAGCTGAGTTGACCTCACCAGTGGGGTTGGGATGGAATTAAGAGGTATCTCAGTGGGGCTGACGGGACTGAAAAGTCAGATGTGAATCTCGAATGAAAGTTTTTCATTCCAACAACATATCTATACTCATCCATCTTCATTAATTCTAAATATTAAATCATCATTTATCACCCTTTAATCTCATTTATTTCGTTCACTTTCATTACATTTTTTATGTAATAAATATTTATTTTATATATTCAAGTAATCATAAATAAGTTATTTTTAATTAAATAATTTAGTACAACTAGTTAATGTGTTAAATTAAGTGTCGAGTTCCATTATTAATTAGACTTTACGATCGAATCAAATTAATTTAAAATAAAGTCTTAGAATACTAATGCGAAATTAAAAAAATTTAAAATAATAAAATAAATATTTTTGTAACACATCAAAACAATATTAATATTATATAACGATACATAAGACAAATAAAAAGTATGTTTAGAATGAAAGATTATTTTCATCAATAAATCATGTCTAAACATAAACTATAATTGTTTAAATGATATGTAAGATGTATACTTAAAATAATAAATAATTTTTTTTAATACATCAAAATAATAACGATAGTATATAACTGTACAAATGACAAATAAGAAGTATGTTTAGAATGAAAGATTATTTCTACCAACAAATCACGTCTAAATAAATAGAAGCTATAATTATTTAAAAGACATGTAAAAGATATGTTTAAGTGTCATTATCCCATTTGACTATTAAATAATCATGCCTTTTATATAAGAACTTAAATGAAAAATAATAACTAAAAATTGAAAAACACTTTTGAAAAAACTTGAAATCAATCATAAATCAATGTTACATTACCTATAGTTAAAACACCTTAGTAATTTTTGTCCAAAATTTTTTAAATTCATGATATATGGAAGTTTCATCTTTATTTGAATGCGTAATAAATAAGTGACAATAAAAGAATTTTTATTATTATTACTGAATGAACTTTCTTCCTTTTTATTAAAAAAAATGACATGTGTTCATATTAATCATAACTCAAAACTCAAGCTATCAACGTCTTTGAGAATGTCTTTCATCACAAATAAGAACAACCAAAGTTCAATGTCTTTCATCACAAATAAGAATAACCAAAGTTCAATAATGGTTGTCGCAACTCAAGTTTAAAACCTAAATATAAAGTCGTCATAATTAAACGGTAAAAATTGAAACTTAATATAAGTAACTTCAACAAATAAAAATATACATAAAAAAAAATGTCTCTTCGTAGCTCATGATTAGGTTATATAAATAATCTAACCATAACCATTTAATAATCATACTTATAAGCAATTATCATAACTTAACAATAACTAGTTTTTAATAACCAATTATGATTTAGAATAACCAATTTTAAATTTTTAATGACCGATTATATTTTTAAAATCAATTATATAACCGATTTTGAAAGAGAAAAAAAAATAAAAGAATAATTTTATATTTAATAACTTTTACAAATTTTTATAGTTTAGCAATCTTCGTTATATAAACTAGCGTAAAATGGTACTTGATATCTATGTGTATTTTATGTAAAATATAAAAATAAATTAATAAAAATAATTGATGTTAAATATGTGTGAGTAATTATCAATTAGAGAGTATAAACAAATTTGAGTGATCATTTAAAGGGAGTGAGATATTTGAAAAATAAAATTACGAAGAAGTGAAAAAAAAATAAATACTAAATAAAAAAAGTATGAAAGTGAAAATAGTTTTTTGAAAATTAAGGGTAAAACGATCAATAGAATATACACATAAAAAAGACGTATCACCTAAACACTGTGAGTTGTAGAGTATCATAATTGTCTTAATTATATGTTAATTGTTGTGTTGAAGTGTTGTTTTGTATCGAGTAACTTTAGGATCCAAGGATTCCTTATGAATTTTAGTAGTGTTAAAGGTTTTTCTAGATAGAGATCCAATTTGACTATGAAGGGAGAAATATATAAGATTTTTATTTTGAATTGAATTTCATAAGTTCAAGTCTTTAAAAACCTACAAAGAGAAAGTCTAAAGATAAGTACTTTAGTATGTGAGCTTATTCCTCTTCTAGATCTTCTCTCCTATGATGATTCCTCTTCACTAAATCGATTCTTATTATGTTGGTTGTTGTTCTAGGTTAGTAGGGGCTTGAAACTATAGACATGATCCATGTAAAGCATCTCGAGATTGTGTAGAGTTTTCTCTTCTCCTTTCTCATTTTCTAGTTGACCTTGAAACAAGGAAAGCTGGAAATTCTTGATATTGTGAAGTTGTTGCATTATTGTGGTTGATTTCAATCTGAGTTGCGCATGATTTTAAGTTGAATGACCCAAGTTGAGGTTTTGAGTTTTGAAGCATGTTGAAACGAAAATGGTGATTTGATTTCTAATTGTTGCATGTTGATTTTGAATGCATTTATATGTTAGTTGTGATGTATATAGTTGATTTATAATATTGCATGCTTGGAAGTTGAGTTTCAAGTGGATTGAGCAAAATTTGTGATCTGCATATAAGTGTAGAACTCGTGTTGCACTAGGTGCGCCTTTGAGGCACTGGGCACTATCTCAACATGAGACTCTCCGCCTTGTCACATTGAGCGTATGATTGGTGGCACTAGGCATGAAGAGATAAACTTGTCTTTAGAAATGGCAACGGGATAGGGTGGGTATGAGTTTTGATATTCTTGTCCTCATCCTTGTTCTCGTACCCTATACTTGCCCTTGTTCCCATACCTGACAAGTATGAAACTTTCACCTCATCCCCGTCCTTACACTACTCAATAACTTAATATTAAATGTGAATTTTGTAAATTCAACCGTTAGATTGAAAGTTCATATCACTTTATACATGTATATTAAAACAACAACTTGAAGGTAATCAAAGTGTTCATATTTTAGTATATTTTGAAATGAATATATTACGTCAATTTTGTTTTATAAAAATGAAATATCAAATCATCTTGGATTAATATAAAATTTGACATATATGATCTAAGAGATATGAACTTTCAATCTAACGGTTGGATTTACAAACTTCGCAACTAATATAAAGTTATTGAGCGGTATAACACTAGTAAAAGTTACACGATATCGTTTGAACCCTCCTATATAATATATATATATATATATATATATATTTAATATAGAGTAACAATTAAAAAATTATATTAATTAAGTTTTAGTTGAAGTAAATTTAAAATATAATAAGAATGAGGATTGCTAACATACTCTTACCTATTTTTTAGTTAGAATATGTTAAAAACCTATACCAAAGTTTTAGGACAAGAAAACTATTCATTTCTTCTAATTTTGTTAATTTGTATAAAGGATATTATAGTAATTTATTTTAATTTAAAAATAAAATAAAATATTTTGTCTCTCTTATTAACTTCATTCTTTAACTCATTTCTCTCTTTTATATATAGAATAAACGGATCTTTTTCTCTCTCTATATATATATCTTATCTACGTTCCCAATTTAATGAATTAGATATTATTTGTATCCATATTCAAATAAATCAAATATTCTCTATCAAGATTGAGATAAATTCAAATATTATATACAAATACAAATTTATTTCTCATCTCTAATCATAATTAGAGACACCAATAATGGTTTGGAACATGGCTATCCATACTAAACGAGTATGAGCCATGAAAGTCCTTTTCAATGATGTGCAAAACTTTTGGGCCAAAAGATGAGCTCAAAGTCATGGTATAGGCCTGCAAATATTAACCGAAACAAAAATTATGATTAAAAAAAAAAAAACTGCCCCGTAACCAGCTAGGACTGGAAACTAGACTGATACGGGCCATTTTTATCAAGGTAATGAAATATAGATACCTATTACCAAACCATAAATCACGATTCACGAACAATTTGATTTTCTCTTTTCATTACATTGTATCTTCATTCCTCTTTTTCTCTCTAAAGTATTAAATAGCATAGAGTGTCGTGTATTAAAGTATTATTTTAATGAATCTGCAATGTAGAGTCCAAAGAAAAATTGCATAGTAGAATTTTCTTTTTATAACAAATTTGGAATCGAACTTAGTATAAAAGAATTTATGATAATTCATATTGTTTAAGCAATTGGTCTTTACATATGTTATAATCTTTACCCATTTTATCTATCTTTCACTTACAAATATTATGAAATAAATTTCTATTATAATTAATTATTATCTCGAAATCAATTAATGATGTTATACCAATTAATTTTTAAGAGAAACATTAATCCAATAGAAATCATTAATATTTATAAATTTTATTATTAATTAAATTGAACATAATGTCTATATAGTGTCATTTTTTTTTGTTACATCTTATAATCAATTTTACACACCATCATATTTATTTCAATGTAAAAATTTGTGATTATGATTAATTTGATCATATATTTTAATTATTTTTATCGTTTCAAAAATATTTTTTTAAAAAAGTTTAAAAAATGGACACTCAACATGTAACAATTGAAAACATAGAACACTAAATTAAAAGATACAACTTCTCAAACTCAAACTCAATAAACGAAGAGATTAGAAGTTATTAGTAATCTGAAATCGACTTTATAAAAAGAATACATTTTTTAATCATGAGTTTAACAAGTGAAAATGGTAGGATTTATCATTATGTCAGATACTAAACTTGGAATGGACAATATAATTAATAAAATTATTTTTACAATTTTGTAAACATAAATGTTTTAAATTAAAGTATAATATTGATGTGTTAGAGATAACACCGGTGACTTTAATCGAACTTTAGGTTACGTTGACCGAAGTATACTTCCATGTGGACCAATATCTTATTTCTTGATTTTATTATAGCCGTGAAACTCTTCGATACGAGTCAGACACTCTAAACAAGTAAGCACTTGAAAAAATAATTTCAATACAAAGGACTAATTAACTTGGTCTTATTTTTACTTTAAAAATTACTTTATACATCTAGTTAATTTTGATAACACTTTTATTTTGGAAAAAAATAAGTTATCATTTAATTGCTTTACACTTTTTTTTACACCTGCGTAATCAAATTAATATATTAATAATTATTTTAAACATTAAATTTATCAAATAAT